CCCCCCCCCCCCCCCCCCCCCCAGCCATTATTTTCACCATGACTGTAACAAGTATTTTTCCCCTTCTGTTTCTCTTCTCGTGCTCCATGGCGTTAGTCCTTTACCGTTCCTTTGTGGCTTGTTTTGAATCTTTTAATTATTGTGATGGCTGGTTGATGCCATCGCCTGTTCTGCCGATGCAGAGCTGGCTGTCTGGCAGCTCGTTTGTGAGCTGGGCAACCTCAAGTCTCGCAGGCAAGGTGTCGCTGTTCCAGCAGCTGGAGGTAGCGTGGTGTTCACTCCAGGCCAAACGCCTTTGCTCGCGTGTCTCATTGCCTGGGGAGGTTTTCTGTTTCCTGGTAGGGGCAGAAACAGTGTGTTGAGCTGGTTTGGAAAGGATAATTTTAAGTATCTGAGTCGATTGGTCTCTCTTACGCAGTTGACGTTAACCAGCAGCTCTCTAGATTGCGATGAGCAGTAACGTTTATATCGGTGGTTACTCTTTTAAAGGATTGAGTGGCACTGGCTATGTGGCTGATTTAATGGCCTGGGTTTAGAAGGGTAAAAAGATTTTGGTTTCATCTACTGAAATCTCTCTTTAAATTTTTGTTTGTTCTTTCGGATAACACTTAAAACCTTTGAGATTTGACCTTGCAGGGCTGCTTTGGACATTTTTATAGCAGTATTACTGCTTCTCGCCTAAAATGAATTTGAGGAGCTCAGTGTCTTTGCTCTGTGCCTCTGCAGGGTAGCAACCTACGCAGGATCCTCTCATAGGCAGCCAAAATAAGACCAGTTGTCTCTCTGTCGAAACCAGTTTTCTCCTGTGTAGGAAAAGGTATCTCAAAGGCACCATGTATTGACATTTTCTAATGTTTGAGAGGATTTCTTTAGGTGGTATCGCCCATTCCTCCAAGAAACCTGGAAGTCAGACATACTTCTTCGCTTGAAGTAGAATTATCTTTATATTTGTACTAATTGACTTTGCCTCTGCCTCAACCAAGAATAAATCTCTCTCTCATCAGCTCTCTGTAAACATTTTGTCTCCAGCACGGGTCTTTATTGAGCATGGGGGAAGCATTTGTTGCCTGCGCTTTGATTATCTCTTGATTACCTCTTAATTATATTGGCAGCATATTGTCAAGTGGAAGGTGAATGCTGTGAAGCAGAGGGACAAGGTCTGGGGCAACCAAACCAAGCCGCACCTTTTGAATCCATAGAAAAAATGCAAGAGCCGTATCGTTTATTTTTCCATCTAATTGGAGAGATTGTTTTCGGTTGGGAACAGCTGCCAGTTGGGCTAATGGGATGGATTTCGTGCGGCAGTTGTTCTGATGGAAGGCTTTGTTGGACTCGGAACAGGGTGATTTAAGAACTTATTAGAGCAGGTAACTAAAATACGCTGTATTGATTATCACCTATGGCCTTATGTCTGCAAATGTTCCTAGGAGAAGAAAAACTGCTTGGCCTATTGATGTTAACACATGATGGCCACGAGCCATGGAAGAGCAAATGTGTCTGGAGAGCGAATTTGTTTCTTTTGTGTGAGCAACCCAGCGGGCGGTGGTTTAACTCGCTTGCCTTTCAGCATGCGTAAATTCATGTGTTAAAATGAGAAGTGCGCGGAACGCCTATGGATAGAGCCAGGATAATAATTACTGGGGTAAAAAGTAACGGATTCACTTTTTTAGAGGCATTTTAGGAACTTTTAGTTTGGTCCTGGCTTAGTTTGTGAGCGTTTTGAAGCGGGCCGTTAGCACGTTTTGTTTGCACTGAATCAGCCACAACCGGTTCCTTGGCCACCGTACGTAATTCCCGTGCTGTTGTACCCCTAGCACCAAAATATTGTAAGTCACAAAACTTCAGCCACTAAATAGTGCAGTAGCTACATGTAAAAACCGATATCTTTAGTAGTTTCTCTTCTTCTGGTTCAGCGTATCCCTCCGTCTGCGGGGCGTCACGTAGAGCTGGTCTTTGTAAGCAAGTTTGCCACGCAGAACCCAGCGCAGGGTTAGATTGGTAGAGCCCGAGTTCCTCTTCCCGGCGGCGTGTGCGATGGCTCGGTACCTGTGTCGAGGGCGCGGAGGAGGCGGGTCAGCGCGGTGGGGTGGGTGTCTCCACCAGCCGTGGGTCGGAGGGCTTGTCAGCCGGGCTGCGTCCTCTGAGCCGGTGAGACTTGGGGTTGGGATGCCTGGAGAGGCGTGTGCTGGGGGACCAGGGGCCGGAGCTCAGCCAGGACCGAGTTCATTCTTCTATTTTAAAAAAAAGCAGCTGACGCGTTTCTGCCTGAGGACAGGTACGTAACAGGGCTTCAGCCCGCTCCGGCTTCTTTCTGTGTCGGAGAGGAGCAGTTCCTGTGACCCAGCTGCCCAGCCTGCCGCGACGCGGGGCCAGACCTTCTCGCCGTTCCTCTGAATAGCTTCCGTCTGTTTTCAGTCGGGTTTATCTGCCTTTTTTAAAGAAAGGGAATATTAAGGATTTCAAAGGCAGTCAGACAGCACTGCTTTGTCCAGATACTTGTATGATCGGAATTTAAACTTACCTTGCTGTTGCTTACGGATAACTTGTAATGCCTCCTCTTTCCTCTTTCACCTTTTTCCCCAGGCAAGCGTGGGACCTCGCAGTTGATATTTGCCTTTCCCAGTTACCTACGATCATAGAGGAAGGAACTGCCTTTAGGGTAAGTCGGATAAAATCTTGCAGTCTTGTGTGCCCGGTTTAACCCGTCAGTGAAACCTCAGTTCAGCGCGTTGCTTTTGCTTGAATTTTTGCAGTTTAAGGGTTTAGCTTTTTTGAAAATAGTCACTGTGCACTTCGCCTCGCTTGGATAAATAGATTTAAAATCAGCTTTACGTTCTTCACTGCCGCGTGAGATGTCTGATTCAGCCCACACCTCCTGGTGAGGAGGGAACCCCTGCCCATGGGAATGATGCCTGAGACCTGACCCTTAAAACTTCAGAGCCCTCACTCTTGACTAACAGCAAAAAAATCCCAACCTGCCAGCATGAGATTTGAAATGAAAAACGTTAATGCCAAAGTTATCTCTCAGTGGAGTTATGTTTATCTGAAAACAAAATAAAGGTTGTGGGTATGTCCGAAGCATTTTCTTAAGCACAGCATCATTCATGTGAGTCACCGGGGGATTTTTTCCTACTTCAGTTAATCTCAGAGAGCAGAAAAGGAAAACTTTAAACGTTATATTTGGCTTAAATTCCTCCGATGAGAATGGATTTTCTAGATATTCCTCTGACATTTCATGAATGGAAACCCTTAAACAATAATTGCTCAGGTAAATAAGCCTCAGGTTCCTGTTCCACCATGATGTTCTCTCTATCTTTGCCGGGATGTTCTTGCATTTTTCTGATGTTACCAAACGTCCAAAAGGTTTTCTGGCTGCGATCGCGGGTTGTCTCCCAAGTCCCGACTACAGGAGGAGAGCTGTGGGCTTCTGTGAGGAGGGGGGGATAAAGATGCCCCAAGGCTTTTATCCTCCTGCCCCTTTTTTTGCCCGCTGTATGTGCTGTACTTCAAAATTGAAACAAATACAATTTTTCCTTTCCTAGCTTATGTTCGTTTTTATTCCAGGTCTCTAACAGTGTCACTGGGTGCTTTTACCTTGCTCTTAGACCTCATCTGGGCACTCGCTGTCAGGCGAGGTGAAGTTTGGCAGATTTCTGTGCATGGCAGGGCTGAGAGGAGGCGAACGCTTGCTAGGGATGAGCGGAGCTCAGCAGATCGGAGTGGTTATTCTCAGCTAGTGATTGATTCGACAGAGGGTGGAAGCGATTCACAGGCAGGGTTTCAAGCCTGACAAATGTAATTTCACGTGTATTTTGACCAGAACTTAAGGTGGGTAGAGCTAGCAACGCGCCGTCGTCGCAGCTGGGAGCCCCCGTGCTGCCACTTGCCGAGCTAGCCCAGGCACGAGACGTAAAGGCAGGATGGAGCCCTCTTCTGAGCTCTTCCTTACGCTTCCATTTAAAATCCAGCGTGATTCATAGCGTGTGGGTCTGTGCCTGTGTGGGGAGGGGACAGGTATTAGGTACAGGAGGATGAGCCGTGGCTGTTGGGGTGGGAGGGAGTGGAAGGGGCTTAGCTCTACGCCGTGACGAATGGGTTGGAGCAGACAGGCAGCTGCACACCCCTGATCTGTTCCTTGGGTTCTAATCAACGCTTTGCCCTCAGACCCCTTGATTTATGCCCGGCAAGAAGCGTTGTATGTCAGAGCAGGTTCGCTGCTGCTGGCCGGCAGTGATCCTGGGAGGAATTGTTGTTGGAGGCGAGGCAGGGGAAGGGGCGTCGTGTCGCGGGGGCTGCTCAGCCTGTTTCGTGACCCGGCTGGCAGGAGCAGCAGTCGGAGCCTGGGATGTCGAATGCCCGGGTGAGTCACAGCGTTACCTGCTGCCATCGTTCGCCGGCCGCCTTGGCCGCTGCGGGTTTCGAGTCCGGTCTGGCTCTGGATAAAGCAATTGATAATCTCTTCAGGGCTGTTTTGTTTCAGCAGCACGTTTATAACACACGTGCGGCTGCCTCCTGCTTATTCTCTGGGTGTTCTTTCCTAGTCAGACCTGGAAAATGCGATAACCTGATGGAGAAAGGCCCGCGGGCTCACAGGGCTCGTGCAGGAGATGGCAGGGGAGCGACTTGGCTTCTGGCAAGCTGGCGTTGGTTTACTCTCCCTCCTCCCATCCCTTCCCTGCCTCCTTCCCCCTTGATTTCCCTTTCCCTGTAGATTTCCCACCTGCTGCTGTGTGCTTTGGTCAGTACTTTCTCATCCCTGGCTCCTAGCAGGTACTTGGTGCGGAAGGTGGCACGAGGGACGTTCCTCCAAGCGCTGCTGCGCGGGCGGGGGGCGCTGATGTGCCCAGGGACTGGCGGAGTAGAGCGCTTTGGGGAGCAAGCGTCCCGCTGCTGGCCGGTCAGCCTTGGCGTTAGGAGGCGAGGGATGCTCCACACGCTCGAGCAGGCTCCCGGGACTTGAAATGTGCTGCAGAGTGTCAGAGCTCACCCAATAAACCTTCCCATTTCATCAGCCAGAGCGGGGCACCCCCAAATGATGGCGTCGTGCTGGAGTCAGACCAGGTGGTTTTCATCAGATGTTTTTCAGAGTACGCGATGTTTTCTCCACTTGTATTTGCTGTCCCCTCGGCCAGATTCCTCTGTGCCTAGAGGAGCTACAAGCTCGTCTCGCTCGTGTTTTCTGGATGCCATTCAGATGCATTTTGCAAAGCAACGTGCGATCGTGCTGTCCTAAGTAGGAAGCACCGAAGTACCACTGATGGGTGCTAGCTGACGGGGGCTCACCCCACCCCTCCTGTCTTTGGTAGGGCACTAGTGCCAATCTAGTAAATACTGTAGCACTCCGCATGTGATTTTTAGGCTCATTCACCCATGCGACCAGGATATCTCTAATTAAATTAGTGGATTCAATAGCTTAAGCAAATGTTCTGTTTGGGTTTGTTTTTTTTTTTTTTTTGGCCTGTATGAAGTCGTTGCACTGCGTTACAGGTGTCGAAGTGATGGACAGCTAAATAAAAGGCTTGAATTACAAACCTGATAAATGGGAGGCAGCCTTCCTCTGCAGCCCAGAGCAGCACATCTGCGTGGCCGCCTGTTTGTGGGAGAGGTTTAGGGCAGCCAGGGAAGACTGAGACGCGGGTGGACGTGGTTTTTTTGTTGCTTTTGGATTGTATTCACTGCGGGCTGGGCAGAGGTAGCGCTGTGGGCTGCTACAGGCATGGACCTACCTCTGCAGAGCAGATGGAGCCACTGCTGGCTGGCTGCTTCTCGGGTGGAAGAGGTTAGCTGGATTTCCCTAGGACCTGCTGTGATATCTTTTCCTGCTTCTCTACTGTTGCCTTCTTTTTTAAAACACGTTAGAGAATACCGGCACATTTAAAGGAAATTGTATCTGGTCAGTCTTTGGAAAATGTTTATACGTTAAAAAACCCCCGAACAAACATTTGGCAATTAAAAGGAATTGGCTTTGGAAACAATAAGCTGCACAAGTCCGTAGGTGCCCAAACTGGTTGTTTCATATCTTTTTTTTTTTAATTCTTTTTTTAACCCAAACTTGCATTCCCGCTCTCGCTCCAACAGCACAGCCCCTTCTTTGCGGAGCAGCTGACGGCTTTCCAGGTGTGGCTGACCATGGGCGTGGAGAACCGCAACCCCCCGGAGCAGCTCCCCATCGTCCTGCAGGTGAGCGCCCGGGCAGGGGCCGCGCCGAGGCTTGCGGCGGCTCGGGCACGGCGTGTTTGCGTGCGGCTCTCCCTGCCCGCTGGGTGCTGCGCTATCAACCAGATGGCGTTTGGGTACAGAAATTACGTGGGCTCCTTCAGGGCTAATTAGAGCTGATTGCATGTTTGCTAGACCCGTGCAGATGAAGACAAAGTGCTTCTCTTCCCCCATACCTTCACTCTCCGTTGAGCAAAGCTCCCCGCTCCAGTCCATTTGCAGCTTCAGCAGTATCGGGGTCTGCTGCCCCCTCTTTTGCTCTGAAGAAGTCTCGCACGTCTTTGTTGTTCTCCCCTGTAGTATCTCCTCTGATATGCGAGCTCTATCAGGCAGAGACTTCATCTTCTCTCTGCTTTCAGCAAGTGGAAGTTACTGCAGTTTAGTTTGGAAATGGCTTCCTTATCTGTCTGGTACAGCCTGGAAAGCGTTCCCTTTAATGCGATGCTGAGATTTTGCTGCAAGAACATAGAAACAAGTCTCTGAAGACCATGCCTGGAAGGGATGTAGAGTTCTGGTAGGCATTTGCTCAGACTAGACCAAGTGCGTGTGTACAGAGGAGAAGTAAATCTAGGAGAAGCCTAACACCTCATTTCAAATAGTATTTTATGGCAAGGCACACATTACAGTTGTCATCTGCTCTTGCCCTCTTCTCCCCAGGAGTTTGTATTGACAGAAATGTAGCCCCTGTTCAAGGAAGCTGTGGTCTCTTCTCTACCAGGCAGCAAAAGTCATTTTGAAGGAACGTTTCCAGTCACTCATACACGGATATGATTCCACTAAATGTGAGAAGACTCACCTTCCCTCTGCTAGCTGCCAGCTTGTTTTGTGACTGACAGCACCATCAATCTCTGTAAGACCAAATCTTCATTTTCCCGAGCCTCGCAAGCCTTGAGAGATCAGTTGGATAAACAGATGCATGGTTTATCTCTGTCACTGCGATGGGGGGAAGGCAGGTTTCTACTCCAGCACCAACTTTGCTGCTTTCCCGTGAATTATTTGGCAGCAGAGGGCTCTGCAGGTAGCTTAACCTTGCAGTGGAATGGAGAGGTCATCTGGCAAAGGAACCTGCTTTCCTTCCTGGAGCAAAAATGAGCTGGGACAACATCATTATTCTTATAACTAAAGCATATTAATTGTATAGTGGAATAAGATGGCTTGTTAACAGGTCTGAGATGCTCTGAATCAGAGACCAGCTGATAGAGAGAGGGCAGAAGTGCATTTCAGACCCTTTTCGAGTGTCGCTTTGCTTTGGCCCCTTGGGAGTGCTTAGACAACGCTGCTGTATTCTAACAAAGGTTGGTTCTGATTTCCCCTTTTAGATGTACCCCTGGGGAAGGAAGGTATTTGAGTGCCAGGGGCATGATGCCAGCTATGCAAAGCTTGGATTTGTCAAGGACGGGGAGACGGTCCTTTGTAAATGGCCTTTTAATTGATTTCAAGAAGTTGCTTTCCATTTTGAATTCTTGCTGTGCATGGAGCAGAGCAGACATGGGTGGCTTCCCGGTGCGGAGGAGAGAGAAGTCACCGAAGAGAAGTTAGCACACACACAGCCTGAAGGAGCCTGAGTAGCAGATGCTCGGTCCTTGTGGAGGTACCTCCTGCCGTGTGATCTCCAGATCTCCACAGAAAGCCCCGGGGAGACCACTGTTGTGGTCCCCTTCCTCCATCCTGCATTCCTTAGGAGATTCCTGCTAAAATGTTGGCTGTTACTGCTAAATTCTTCTCTTGTGTCCCAATTAATCTCTTACCTTGCCTGTGTGGACATCATTAGCTTCCCTATCTTCTGGCTAGGAATAACGACAGACAGACGTCGGGGAGGGATGGGGTGCGGAGCTGTGTGTGGGTAGTGGCACAGTGCAGCAGTTTCATAATTTCACCAGAAGTTCATAACTTGTGCACAGGCTCCCCACGTTGTCGTCCAGGTCTCTAGAGTTTGTGTCGGTTTTGGCTTCGGATTATTGTGCAGGTCAGTCTGGGAAGCGGGAATATAAAAACCTGAGCGAGACCGATGGCTTTTTGGTTTTGAAGATAATGCAACAGAGCTTTTAAAATAAGTCAGAGTTTGGTTTGGTTAAAGGTTCTTGCGGGATGCCAGCCGTGTAGAGATGTGGTTTTGTACCTTTGCCTGGACATCCTTTTCAATTACATCCAGTTTTTTTTCCCAGCTATGACAGAATCTGTGGATTCACTTGTTTATTCCTGAAGGTCGGGGAACAGCAGCGTTGTCAAACCCGTGCCTCCCACGTCTGCGTAAGCGCCCTGCACCTAACGAGCCTGTCCGTCGCTCCGGCTGCCCCAGCTTCTGCCCTGCCCTGCTCTCTCTTACTGCTTTAATCTCAGAGAGCTGCCCCTGTTAGTCCTGTGCTGGGCAGCTTTAAAGCACATTGCTAATCGTGCCAAGTAAGTTTATGGAATAGGTTGGTGCCAACTAGGGCAGGGTGAACAAAATCCTTTCCCTTATGACCTGTCCTGAGCCCTGAGCTCCGATATTCGGAGGTGAAACGCGCTCTCCCTTGTAACCGCCTTTTTCTACGGGACTTCCTCTGCACAACTTCAGCATCTGGTATCAGACGTCCATAGTATGAGACATCAGCCAAGTAATTTAGTTATTCTTTGATATTAAACATGAAAAATAATGTAATTTGAATACGCCGTTTGGAAAAACACTGAGAAAGGGATGGAATTGGGGAGCTAAATCAACGAGTCTCCGAGACCCATGCTGAGGGATGTTTCTCAATTTAAACTGAGGATTAAATGTTGCATTCCAATATCTTACATCTGTTAAGGAGATTAAGAACTGAAAGTCTGCCTGTTAATATTTCACACCCGGGTAGGTATAAGCCAGTAAACTACTACCTCATTATCGTTGTCAGACTTCATTTTAATGAGATTTTTATTAACGACTAATGTGACCTTTTGCTTCCCTCTTAAGTCTCTTACATCGATTTGCCAAGGAAAGCAAAGCCTCTTTTTCTGCTTCTGAGCGGGTTTGAGTAACAGAGGCTGGGCTTTTTGCTCACCTTTGAATCCTTCCTGCAGATGCAGTCGTGTTCCTGCTTCACTGGGGAAAGGCTATCTGAAATCCATAGGGGCTGCTTCCACCTCGCAGGGCTGTGCTGCGTAGGAACCGCTGTGCTCGAGAGGAAATGAGCAGAGAGCACAAGGCGAGCGATGGCGTGGAGGTGGGGGATAACTGCGTTCCCAGGAGCACGTCTGCACGGGTCTGCAGGAACTTCAGGAAGGAGAGCGTTATCGGGAGGGACAGTGACCCCCCGGCGGCGCTGCTCGGTGCGGTCAGGGTTTGCCTTCCAGCTTTTTCCATCAGTTTGTTCAGACGATCCTGAGGTCCCCTTAGATTTGCTCTGCGGTCGCGAGGATTTTTGCTCTTTCAAGCAATAACCGTTATCCCTCTCCTCTGCAGGTGCTGCTGAGCCAGGTACATCGGCTGCGAGCTCTTGATTTGCTGGGAAGATTTTTGGACCTGGGTCCCTGGGCAGTTAGCTTGGTGCGTGGACGTTGCATCTTGTCTTGGAAAAGTCTGGTTTGTCTCGGTAGAGGCGATAAATACAAATGAGGATTTGTGGAAGGAAAATGTGGAAGATATTCCCCAGATTTAACGAATGACCAGTGTTCTGTGTGTTCAGGTGTATGAAACGGAGCGAGCAGCCCTAAAAGAGGAGTGGTTTGTATTAATCACAAAGGCCAAATAGCTGTTTGCTTGCACGACAACAAAGAGGAGTTCCTTGGGAATAGTTTAGCGTAAAATATTGTAAGGGACAAGACAGGAGGAAATACCTGGGACAAAGAAGAAGGTTTGTCATATAAAATAAATAACAAAAAAATAGCACCTGTGTTTATCATCTGTTCTCTCAGCATACTGGCTGGATCATTTCCTTCTCTATCTGTTTGGTCTCTGGATTTTATAAGCTCTTCTGAGAAGGTGGCAGCTGCCTTCTGCATTTTGGAAAGCGGCCGGCACCGCGCAGATAATAAATAAGAACTAAGCAGAGGAGCAGTTTAAAGCACTCTTGTAAATGGAGCTACTTGTTGGTAAAAGCGATGAAGGCGCAGAGCTGCTGGCTGTGGAACAGCTCAGTGATGGGACTGTTTAGTGGTGGTCTGTACCCTCCTCCTTCACCCCAGCTGCAGCTCCCTTCTGCACGCCTTCGCAGACGGCTTCGCCCTCAGCGCTGGGGAGAAAGCGTGCAGGAAAGGTGATTTTAAGACCTCTGGATTATAATCTGGAAATTAATAGGCCTCTTGCCTGACACAGGCTTTTTACCAAGCCTTTTCTGTGGAGGCTGTAGCGAGGTGGGGGTCGGCCTCTTCTCCCTGGTAACAGACGATAGGACGAGGGGGAATGGTCTGAAGTTGCGCCAGGGCAGGGTTAGGTTGGACATTAGGAAAAACTTCTTCACGGAAAGGGCTGTCAGGCTCTGGAATGGGCTGCCCAGGGAGGTGGTCGAGTCCCCATCCATGGAGGGATTTAAAAGAAGGAGAGATGAGATGCTTACCCCCACAACCTGGCAGCAGCCAAGCATCAGCCAGCGAAAACGGCCGGCGAGGTTTATGGAGCAGCCCAAGCCAAGGCCGCCTGTGGCTGACCTGAAGCTATGTTTTGATCCTCACAGAAGTTTATAATCCAGAGGTTTTAGGACCCTGGGTTGTGGGGGTGGTACCCCCGGGAGCGCAGCGCTGCAGGCGCAGTCCCTCGCCATACATTTCCTTTACGTTGTGCTTTGGGAAAGGTGTCTGCAGTCAGGGTGGGATTCTCAAAGACTTCACGTGTTACGTGTCCCCCTGTGGGCACAGTCTCAAATCCCGCAGCAAAGGCTTGGTGAGAAGCCTGTGTCAGGCAAGAGGCCGACTAATTTCCAGTGGGAAGCCTGCAGTTATTGAGCTGTTGCAGTCTGTTTGCTTGTGAGAGCAAATGGCCCCATCCGAGGAGAGCGCGACGTATCATGAAGCATGAAATAGCGCAGGCCGTAACGAGCAGAAGCGAGTGCTAGATTAACTCTGAGTCTCCATGGACCAAATGAGTCTGAAAATATCTGGTGACATCCGAGATTAAAATGAGCAATAGATAAATACACAGGGATCCCCTCTTTACTAGAAACGTATGAAATTGTTTTCTGCCAGATTTCTCATCTGTGTCGTTAAATGCGCTGCGTCTCCGCAGAGCGCTCGCTCCGGCCCCTGCGGTGAAGCTGAGCCGTTCACAAGCGTTTGCTCTTCTCTCTGGCTCCCCAGGCCCTGTCTGTTGGCATTTTCCCGTATGTGCTGAAGCTGCTTCAAAGTTCAGCTCGCGAGCTGAGACCGCTCCTTGTCTTCATCTGGGCCAAAATTCTGGCAGTGGACAGCGTGAGTACTTCTGAACTTGGCTGTTTCTTTCGGGTTTCAGCAATGTGCCCTCCCCACCCCCCGGCCCCGTTTGCTTTATCCAGTTGCCTTAGACTTGGGGCTTCCTCCCGGGGTGCTTCAGAAAGACGCTGTGTGTGTTGTCTGGGGACCCGTGTGTTACCTCATTCGTTTGTTGGGCTTGGGTTGAAGGCTGGCTGCTGAAACGTTGGGAACGGGGAAGCCCCGTTAAGGCGCTGACGCTGGGTGGGTTGGTGCCCACCTCTTCGTACCTGCATGGGAGGAAAGCAGGTTGGCTCTGGGTATGGATGCTGCAGGGTGACGTTAGCGCCGTGCGGTCCCCTGGGGCTCTAGGCTGTAGGTGCTCTAGGTCAAAGCCATCGGGCCTCACTGACGGCATCCTTACTGGGGAAGGTATAGCTTTGCTTGCCGAAGGGGCTTCAGATGCACCCGTACCTTGTCACGTGTGCGTACCCATACTCTCCCTCACTTTGTTCACTTCAGGTTGTCATCAAACTTGTTTTGCTGCAGACCATTCCTGGCAGTTGTCAGAACGGGCTGTGGGTAGTTGTCAGGCACAGAATTGTTCTAGAAATAAAGCAGAGGTAATTTTTGGTGATTTTTAAGTCCTGCTCCAAGTCTCATGCATGAGCCGATGCACTGAAGGGGGCTGCCACAGAAGCGTCCACCCCCCGCAGGAGAGAGGTTACCCCTGTCGTGGGCCCAGGGTTCTGATCTTCTCAGGAGTTTTTTGGCACCTTTAGGGGGAAAGTTTAAAAACTGAGCGCTGATTTTTAAAGATGGCCTTAACCAGCGCTCTGGTTTGTGGGGTTTTTAGCAAGTAATTAAGCAGGTAAGTAATTGGGGATACGTTTGTGTGGTCGTGTATGTGACGCCATGGTTTGTGGGTGCAATTAGTTGAGCAATGTAAGATTATTAGGAGTGGTGCACACAGCTAATTGCAGCACGATTATAAGCTGATAGGAAATTGCCTGAGCTGCTTGTCGAAGTCGGATCTTGCCTGTTTGGGGGTTATTTTCGTTATAGCTCTTCCATTGCCATATGGAGAATAACGCTGAACTTGTTGGAATTTGTCCCCACTGTCGATCCAGCAGTGTCAGGTTTAGCTTTCTAACTGTATTTTCATTAACATCCTAAGAGGATTTTGGAAAGCAAAGAAAATGAAAACTATTCATCTTAAAGCTACTCTTGAAAAGCTTATTTCTGATGCATGCCTCTCCGTGGCTGACGTTCAGCCCCGGGTACCTTTCAGACTCAGCTCATGTATAATTTACACGGCGTGTCGTGCCATCCTTCACCTTGGTGGTGGGGAAGCCAATCCGAGAGGGCTCTGTCCCCCTCCTCCTCTCCTGCCGCCGTCAGTGTTGCTCCCATGCTCAGCTTTGCTGCCCACTCCTCTGGCAGGCTGTGCTTTAACACGGAACAGCAGCAGAAGTACTCGTAAATGTTGTGTTAGGGTTTCTTTCCACTTTTCCGTTCAGTAGCTCCACAAACAAGGGGTGCAAGTGAGAAGGGAGGAGAGGGCAGCTTCAGCGGGAGAACGCAGTGAATGCTGCCGAGGGAGGGGGCAGCGGCGGCTCGGGTGCTCCCACCGGGAAGGGCACGAACGCGGCACCATAGCGGAAGCGAGAAGAACACTTCCTTGTGCTAAGTATCAACGCGGACATCTCTAGTCCCTCCTCAGCTGGTGCGAGGCTTGGCCGTGTACGTTTGAAACAAACTCAGTTTCAAAGTTTTAACAAAAAGCACGCGTGTTGCGTGGATTCCGAGCTCCGTAACGCCACGGCCGGCTCGACTTGCCCAGCCCTCCGCCTTTCCAGAGGGTAGGTTTAGCTGAACGAACCGCGGGAGCTGTACCCGCACGCTCCAGGATGAGACGCGGTCTTCCGCGTTTGTCCGACCCGGCGGGGCAGCCGTCGGTGCCCGGGGCCGCGGGGGGCACGCTGCGCTGCGCGCCTGCTTCGTTTTCTCGGAGACGGCCGTTCGTAGGAGTCGGGGGGGCCGACAGCCGCGGGGGCGAGGCGCTGCTCCGCGTGGGTGCTACCGCCGGCATCCCAGCAGCGGCCGTGGCCCCAGCCTATGAGAGCCTGTTTATTTTCTAACATTCTGGCAGCTAATCTTCATCCCCGCAGTAACTGTCCGGTGCTGTCTCTCTCCTTCATCCGCTGTCCCCTGGGCGCGTATTTTATCTGGTCTCAGGAGAGTGTAGCTGATGGAATTGCTCTCACTGGGACTGGAGTTCAGCCGATTGCTCTTTCCCCTTCGCATTCGGATGCGACGGAGCACAAGCTTGCTAGGGCCCTGGAGAGCCGAATATCC